CTTGAGAGGCACAACTCTACCAAGAGCGTTGATGAACCGAATTCTCTCGACAAAACCAGGGCCCTTCTCCTCCTGGTCGCCATAGTCAACACCCTTCTTCGACAGACAAAACACCGCGTTCTTGAAACTCTCCCATGGGATGTCCTTGTGTCCACACTGCACAATCGCAGACCGGGCCAAGAAGATCTCCTGCCGTATCCAGACCCGCTCGAACCAAGGCCGGTCAAACAAAGCCATCAGCGCAACAAGTTCCCCCGGCATGCTGGAGAATGAAATGGGCAGATCCTTTATCCAGGGCGTATCGACCCAGCTCGCAGGCGCTATGGTGCCTTGCCACCAGTTGACTACGATCCGACGGCTCAGTGAATCAAGGTAGTCGAGCGCGAGGGAGCTATTGTCTTCCTCCGGGCCGAGCCACACGATGACTTGCTGCGCGAGGCGGTAGACATCGCCCATGAGCGTCACCTGCTGGGCTCGTTCTTGGAGGTCATCTTGGTTGATACACACGGCGTCGACCCAGAGCACGCGATGCTCGCTTTCGAGCCGGAGGTGTCTCAGGACCTTGTCGAGGTTGGGCGTGATGCTGAGGGTGTGCTGGTGATCGAGGGTGATTGGGACGGGATCTGTCTCGGATCCCCACACGTATGAGAGCGCTTCATATCGTGGAGGACTGTTGTGGTCGAGATCTGCTGTGGTGAGCGTCACGGAAATGTCGTCGGTGAATGCTCCAGGCAGCAGCGTAAGAAGCCGGAACTGCGCTTGAGGATAAGGGTGCCCGGCGATTTGGCGGGGTTCGACCGAGGAGTATTGGTATGTTGTCTTTGCTGTCATGATGGAAGCCTTAGGCAGATATGGAGGAAAGCGCTGTGATGATACTCGGTCAACTGATCAAATCTAATACAACAGCAGTCACTTAGATCTACCGACAAACGGTGGTTGGATCTCTCAATCGGCTGTTTCTTGTCCCACGGCTGATGGATGAACGAAGTGTCAGGCGGGGAAAGTAGCGTCGTGTTCACAAATTATATGCCTTATGTGCCAAGTAGTCCACATTACCCTAGAGACTTTACCGCATATGTGAGACTCATCTAGATACAATGAAACCTACGAGAAATTGGCATATGTATATGCAAATGTTTTTTTTTTTTTGGCGTTCAAGGTAGGATAGGAACACATATTAAATATTTGCCGAATTTGTCCTTAGTCGAACTCAGCCCTACAAATCTTCTATCAATTTTTAATATAATGTATTCTTCGACGCAGTGTCCAGCGCCATTGCTGACAGCCAAGGTGACACGTAGATCAACCTAAGGGCATTAAGTTCATGTAGAAATGATTATTGTCTGATTGAAAGATGTCTAACTGACATGCGAGATAATCTACTCAATGCTTTCGAAGGTCTGTTCTCTAGAGGATGAGATCTGAAAGTGACGATCACCTCGTGGACAGCCTCATAGACATGAAAATTTCTAAAAGGGCAGAATATAAGGAGAAAAACGAGAAAAAAATGTTCTGTGATACCCCATCATAGGAAAAATCTATGAATGTCTTGCTACCGCCTGTAGCTTGCCTAGAACGTCAGCAAAGTTCAATTCGCCCAGAGTTTCCTCCCACAACCTCTCGGCGGTTTGCTTCCCAGCAGTTTCGTACATCATCGGGTGAAAACTATCGAAGATGAATGATCAGCAAACTTGCGATAGCCCTAACTTTTGAACGAAAATGGGAAGGCCAGAAGATTGAGGCCATAGAGGGGTGACTCACGGATAGGTTTCCCAATTCATTCTAAAGCCACCATGGGACTCTCTACCTTGCACAACTGCCGCGTCGGCATACATGTAAGAACCATGCCGAACGGAGCGTGAGAAGGGCAGAGCAATTATCCCCATCATGGCCTTGACGATAATCGGAGAATTTCGCTGGACGTCGGTGGAGTATACCCAGCCAGGCTCTAGGGCATTAATAACAACGTATTCTGGATCCACCAACTGGGACAACTTGTCGAGTAGCATTAGAAGGAGTGTCTTGGAAACGCTATATCGCTCCAGGCCGGTGTCTAAAGTCCACTTTGCTTCGATATCGAAAGAAGAGATCAGAGGATCCGCATCACGATTCTCGAATTTGGAGTACAACCCAAATGACGACCCGACAAGAGTAAGTCTCCCAGGAACCCCCGACGCACTTTTGTGCTTGAGAGTCGGAAGGAGAAGCATCGCAAGCAGAGCGGTGGATAGATAGTTGACCTGGACTGTCTCCTCGTGGCCAGTGGAAGGGTTGATGTTGAAAGTCGTGTTGGAAATACCTGCATTCAGAATGGCAATGTCCAAACGATCAAGCTTGCTAACACGAGTGGCGAAGTCTTGTACGGAATCATAAGATAGCATATCCAGTTTCCAGACTTCAATCCTAGCTCCAGGCGACTCCTTGCGGAGTTTTTCTGCTGCATCCTCACCCTTCTCGATTGAACGAACAGCCATGATGAGGTGAGAAAGGTGGAGTTGGAGGAATAGGCGAGCGGCTTCGAAGCCTAAGCCTGTGTTGCTTCCGGTGATGATGCATGTTTGGACAGAAAGGTCGGTCGTAGGAGGCGGTGGTTGGGACTTTGTCAAGATGTGTGACTTGACCCATGTTTGGAAACCTGTGACACTCAAAGGAGGGAGTGCTGCAGATGCCATTTTGCTTTAAGAGAAATCCTGAGTTACACAATGCGATATCAGTCGATAAATTTTGGGAACTACGAGAGCGTCTGGCTGTTGATTTCCTAGTGAAGAAGACAGGACCTCTTGGGAATGGATCTTAGACAGTATTTATAGGCATCTCAAGAGAGAAGAATCACGAATTGTAATCGAGTATCATTAATTCAATCAATAGACTCTGCCTGCGGACAAGATGCCGCCTAGCCACACCAATATCTCGACTCGGGATATCAATCGTTTTGGCTAACCAAAATAGGAAAATGTTGTGGTCGTTTTAAATCGGGTCTGATCATCTCCGGCCCGAGCTTAGATCAACTGCTCAGCTTCTAGCATCCCGACCCTCATTCCTCCCCCTTTTATACTCTCGTAGAACTTCGCTCGTCTTATAGTTTTCACCCTTTACGGAAAATACTGTGGCCATTTGAGTCGGAGTCAAGACATGCTCCTCGGCTGAATTCATCACTCCGGTCTTCCCGAATCTGACAAATGGCCAACTTGGTGTTCATTGACGCATCATCAAGTGGCTCCGTCACATCTGGCGATTTGGCACGTGTGCGGAGTCACTGCATGAGAGGGCGCAACAAAAAAGACGGTTCCCGAAGGTCCAAGAGAGAGGCGAGACGGATTGCCAAGGAGGCTCGTTGCTCTTCCGGGCCAGCTTTGACACCGCCATCTCCCCCTACTGTCGCAGGCCCATCACCAGCCAATTTGGATTCCCAATTATCCAAAGCCGCATCAGTTTTATGCAGGATACCGCCGCCGCCGCCTCCGGACGTTGCTCTCGTGAGGTTCGCTGACGAATTGAAGCCGGCTTCCCAGGAAAGCATGAAACAATGTATGACTCCCATCCAATTTGATACGGGCCACGAACTAAGTTGTCAGTTCTTAAATTTTCAAAAATCAAGAACACGATGTACCCAGTGCATGAGTGCGTCGATTTCGATCAGTACATGGGCGACCACCTCCCGTGGCTCTTCTCAGACGCAGTATTCTTCCACACAACCCTGATGGGCGTATTTTCGATGAAATGCGTCATCTACAATCAGCCCCCCAGCGAAGCAATGTACTATCACCATAGAAAAGCCCTAAAGCTTTTGAATCAAAGACTATCGAGTCCAGAAGCCCTCCAGTGGGAAAGCACAGCCTGGATAATCCAGTCGCTCGCGCTGATGGGTGGGCTCCATAATGACTTCTCCGCTACGCACACTCACTTGGCAGGCCTGAAGCGAATCATCGAACTAAAAGGAGGGTCAAGCTTTCTAAGGGAGCGACCCAAGCTTCACTTCAAAGTTGAAAACTTGGATTTATTGTCCTGTTTGTGGTCTGGGAAGAAGCCAACTCTTTTTGTCGAGCCCTCATCCTGGGCAGCTATTTTCAGGGATGATCATGATGACTGTGAGACCTTTGTTCATCTTGATCATGCCATCTTTGACCCTCGCCTGGTGAGCACATTTAATGACCTCCAGCGCCTCAGCATTCTTATTCACGGGCTACTGGAGAACACGCAACGCCTTGACGCACTTAAGTTCCAGTCTATGCTACACTCCGTGCAGAGTCGCTTAATTCATCTTAAGCAAACCCTGCCAGATGGCCCCTCTCTCTGCATGTGCCTCGGCATGCTCGCATTCATTACAACTGCTTTTTCATTCCCCGGGAAAAGAGTTGCATATCCATATCTACGTTCTAGGCTGCACCAGGCTCTTCAACAGCTTGAGCCTAGTCGAGTAGGACCCGACGATTTGCTCTTTTGGTTAGCAATAATATCTAGAATGCTGGTTGCTGGTCCGGAGAAGAGTTGCGTTGGGTACTTATTACGTGGCGTTCAGTATCCTACGATGGAGTGGGAAGAGGCTCGCATGCGGTTGATTTCCGTGATGTGGATTGGGCCATTACAGGACGAGCTCGGAAAACAGTCATTCTTCGATGTGATTTCATCTTTATGAGTTAATAGCCAGGTGCTTTCAGTGGGTAAATTGAAAGAAAAAAATAACGATGCAACAGCTTAGATGTGCCCCGGTGGTTATATATAGTAGTTCCTCCTCCAGAGGCAAAAGCTTTGTGACGCTCTTGTTTAATGCAATATTTTCACAAGTTAGTTTATGTTGAAACTATAATTTGAGCTGAATATCAAGTACATCTGCCAGAAGAGGAAATATTCAGAAGTAGTATGCGAGCTTTTGCATTGGAAACATGGAGCCTGGTCCTATTTTTTAACAGAACCCTTCCATGCCCCCATCTCCACCAATCTTCGGTCCAATTAGACGGGACCGACCGACCGGAATGGTAGTGTGAATGACAGCAGTCCGTTTATTTGGTAGGGTTTGAGCACCATCCCTCACCACAAACCTCCTCGTATCCCTTTTTAGACAGTATTAGTCAATGCATGTTAAGCTCAAGTCATGAACATGGCAGTATATCGAGAGGGTTACAAACATAATCAGTGCCTGGATGTCCAGCACAGTCGCTGCTCAAAGGGGCGCGACGCTGGACAGACCACAGGAAGGTCCAGGGGTTGTAGTTGAAGACTGTTGGGGAGTTGGGACCCTGGAGACGAAAAAGCATAAGGCTGTCTATTTCAACAGAGTTAGAGAGCATTCATCTTCCTTTTTTTCATGAAGAAGGTCGCTGTATGCTTACCCTCAAACTTAGTGATGACCTCTCCGTTAGTGGAGCCGCGAACACCGTAACCGACGCCGGTGATATGCCAGTGGCGCCCTTTCATTCGGTCCTCGGTGACAGACATAGGTTGTTCGGGGCCGGCCAAAAACACTGTATGTTTATGTTAAATTCACATAGCGGTAATGTCAAGAAGGGGCCTTACTCTTGACGTTGTAGCCCGCGTTGATGAGCTCCCTAGTGCTGTTTTTGATGGCTCCTGCGGCCTCGTCTCCTGGATATCCTTGCTCAAGGACATACTTATGGTATGGAGGCAAACCACTGATAAAGTTAGAAAAGCGCGATTGACATCTTTGAATAAAAACTTACGTGTAAAACACGTTGACCTCTCCGCATCCCGGGAGAGTGTCGTTCTTGGGCAGGGCAACCGCCGTAGACCCGGCGACAAGGCCGAGTGTCAAGATAGACTTGATGCAGACCATTTTGGCTTTTGTAGCTAGTAGTGAACCAAAAACATGAGAAAGGTTTGGGAAGTTCGGATTAAGAGAGCGAAACTGGGCGGTGGTGCGTTGTTAGAGTGAATCAATCACCTCATCTCAAGACATCACCGCTTATATACCACCTGGCCCTCCTGGATCGGTTGTCTCGCGCAGCGAGATATACCGACATTTGTCAGAACTTGCTCAAAGTGCATATGCAGCTGATGACCGAAGGCCGAAATCAAAGATGCAATACAATCCTGATCTGCTACCCGTGGCCGATGCAAGGATGGATTCGATAGGCTCCCTTCCACATGAGTTTAATAAGATCGTGGGTCCATTCATGCGCCACCAGGATTCGGGCCTCGCCCCCTCCTTTGTTGAAGGTCACCCAGATCGGATCTTATAGCAATGCCCCGAGCAGAGGAATCCCATCCACAGAGCTGACTCCCTTCAAGGCCTGCCATGTGAACAAATGCCGTCGTCTTAGTAGCAAACTACCAATTTATCCAGTCAGCTGCTACCGTTTATACTTGTTCAAATCAAGCTTTCTTGGCAGTGCCTAAAAGAAAAGAAATGCTCAGTTTTATGCATCAAGGTGCATGTTCGGTCCCGAGACTCAATGCCACGACGGGACATGATCCTTCACGGTCGACCTCTAACAAGGCAAAACTTGTAAAATGCTTGTCAAATCAGTACTCCTGTCGTTGTAGGGTTTCACCATTCACCCTTTGCCCTGCATAATGCAGGAAGCATGCAGGATTACGTCGAATTCCAGCAAATGATTTCCAACCTGTGAATGTAGTCGAACCAAAGTACCCCCACTCTGGCGAGTCATTGGTCTAGCTACGAGAGGTAGGGATTAGAGCGGTGAATCCTGCGGAGCGGCTTGGGCGCAAGATGGTCCCGAAATTAGGATACGAAACTGAAAGTTTATTCAAGACCTGGAACATAGAGGATTGTTCTTTGTGTGGTGGCTGAAAATACCCACTTCAGAAGATCTTATTAAACAGCGCAGAAAGAGGTTGATATTTAATGCATATTAGGTTTGTTTGAGAGTAGGTTATCATCCTTTCTGTACCGGCTTTTGATGCATCCGATATAACCGCTACTGCCAAACCGGCGGGTTCAATACATTTCCAGTAACAACCCCCTCTTTAACCGAGTACAAAAGCCAAACCCTACCTGGTCATATCTATGCTCAAGTACCATCTCTTTGTAGATCGATAGCCGTAGCTTGCGGTACAGCATGGGATTAGCTCACCCAAGCCAAAAACGCTTCAATGTAACGCTCCAGCCTCGGCCGGCTTGTGGCCGATTCCTGCTCCTCTTGGCCCTGCCCTTTCCATCCAATATCCAGCCAGATTCTACCCTAAAGAGACCTACGCGCTCGTAGTGTCCATCAACCTTTTGTAAAACCATAGCCGTCTCATCCGATGTCTTAATTTGATCATCCGTATATGATCTTGGAAGAAGTGCCATGAATGTAGCGGGAGAAGCAGTGCCATGCCAACTATTGCCTATAAGTTCCGAGCAAACAGTTACTTGAGAGCCTGTGTCAAAAGTTACAAAGTATGCATACTTCGTCTCATGACCAACTACTCTGCGTGAACGCTTTGGCTGCAGCACTTCCAGATGCTTGACTTCGACAGGCATCGTCCATGCCTCCAACTGAAAGATGCTATGGTAGTCACCTTCCATCGCATTCATTTTACGGAAATCGATGTCATCGAGGTTGACCAATCTCCCGTCCCTGGCCTTAAGCCAGACCTTCGCATCAGAAAAGCAAGGCTTGCCCGTAGATGCAAAGTATTGAGATATTTCTCCATTCCAACCAGCCCATGACCAACTCGGGGGGGACTCTACTCTTCCCCACGAAAGATTCGGGGTACATTCTTCCGAAAATGGGAGACGATAGTCCCTCCAGAAGAGGGCTAAAACAAACCGCGCCGATATTGACTTCATGGAAATCTCCTGGTGAATAGTGCCCATCAAGCTTTCGTCACTTGTGAAGAGTGGTATGCCCCAAAAGTGATAGATGGGGGCTTGGGCCCTCTTGAAGGCACTGAGAATCCCTTGGAACGCATTCAAGGTATCATATGAGTATGTAAGCTGCTTCGTTGAAAAGCTTCGAACAAAGCCCATGTAATCTTCCGGGTCGGATTGGGGTGCTTTTCTCTCTAGAGGGCCCAGATCATATGCATATGTGTCGAACTTGCTCTTATCGGAGACGTGCAAATTATCTAATGGCATGTCTAGCCCCTCGCTGCAATGCATCCCGTTGCAGTCAAAAATTACTTGAGTCTCTGTGAAGATGAGTCGCTTCGTGGATAAAATACCTTCTTGGAAGGTCCAGCCTCGGGTGTACCATCTCGACTTCTCTATGCTGGACCTTCCACTTGGTAAAGTAGAGATGAGGTTTATGTTCTTCAATTCCAATACTTGTTGGTCGGCTCTCGAAGTGTCGTTAATTCCCGGAAGGCCTTCATCCGGAGTTTCGCATGCAGCTGCAATTATCGTGATTTCAGAATTGGCGTAAATGAGATCCATCTGACGGATTTGGTGAAGTGTATCGGCATGATTAGAATGGTCAATGCAAATCCTATCGACCCAGAGATATCGTATGCCAAGCATTTGGGTAACCGTGATACTATCTTCAATGACCTTCTCGAAGCGACTACCATTGGCCCCCGGTGATGCTTGAGTCGCAGATGATGTGGTGGTATTGGTCTTCCCCCACACATAGGATAAAGCCACATAGCGGCACTTTAGAGGCGCTTTAACTACCAGACCGCTATAACAATCAAGAACACGGAAATATTGGAGTTCCGAGAAGGTCGTCGCCGAGCAGCGTGTCTTGTGGTTGTCACGGCAGTAGGAAATCCACTTCTTTGCCAGAGTAAAGTCAAATGCCTTAGGGTTGACCAGTCGAATTTTGCACACACTTTCTATGCTCTTTGGTATTTCTGGGCCAAGGAAACCTATTTGGTCGCAAGCATCCATCATAGCGGCGAGAGTGAGAGAATGGAGAGTTTGTGGCGAAGATTTTGACGGGGCAACACCTAAAACGTTGGTTTCGCCCATGTTTCGTCGGCCGGCTTTCCCAGTGAAGACCTTGCTCCCACTGAAGATTCGCAAATGGAAATAATCATCCGTGAATAGACTCAACGCTCTAGGGTCAAATTTCCATGTGGCGGATGGGCTGCAAGGAGCGAGGCTCGCAAAACTGCGACATAAATCACATGATGATGTTTTCAACGCGGAAAGTTGGCCCAGATTCATAACAAATGAACTATGCCTTCCATCAAGTTTCCGGTTTAATAATTCCTCAAAATCAATATTTAAACACTGATGACACAGCTGGTCGTCATCTATGACTACCGGCGAGACGGTTTGGCGATCGTCGCCACGGGGCTCATCGCGCTTTCGTTTTCGACTGGGCTCTGTCAATGGATCCATCAATGAGAAAGCGCCAGTGGTGATCAGTGTTTCTTGAGAAACTTCTCGAAATATTTGAATTAAACGTGCGGAAGCTCGCGGGAATTGAGTGGTCGGGCAAAGTAATATGCAAGAGCAGAGATCAATGAAGGGCTGGAGAAGTTCTCTCTCTATCGCGCGGCGTAATCCTGACATATATAGGCGCCCACAAGGCAGACGTGCTGTGGCGCAGTACCAGTCCTCACATGATGTCTCAGCCGAAGTGCCAACAAGTGAATCCCGACAGCGACGATCTCCAGTCCCAAGAGTGGGTGAAGGCCCGAGCATCCTCTTAGCCCGTCAGTACATTCAACTTATTAACTTATTGATGTCAGATCTGTCATCTTTAATCCTCTGATTTAAACACAGCCTCCAATGGTTTGAATCGGAGAGGCACAAGTAAGACATCTGCATATGTGTATTGCATGTGTACGACGGCTTTGATTCTCAGTATGAATGTACATGCGCTTGTGTACAGCCGTCTCACTCTTATCTATTATTGCTCGGTCATACTATCACGATAGCTTTCTAAGGCGAAATACCAGGGTAGTGTTGCAAGAGCGTTCTCATCAAATGTCTTCTGACTTGCACTCTCAACTCAACTTCCATAGCGCGAGTTAGGTAGCTGTCAAACAAATGCACAACAGGTGCCTTCCAGTCCTCACTCCTTCAGTAACCTATTTTTTATTTCTAGAATTCTCCAGAAATACAACGTCAAAGACTACATATGGGTCCAAGGTCTTTGCAAGGTTTAAAGTTTTCTCATGCATCTGTCAATTATCGTCTGAGAAACAAGTTATGCTCAATGATTCACTTAATAGCCTTAAAAAACCTCGTCTTTCTATGAATCTGTGAGCCTCTCTAGCCTACGAATGCGCACCCTTGCTCCAACCAAAGCCTTTCCAAGGAGATTATGACCCCAATTCTCGCGGGTATGCATCGTAGCACGTCCTTGCTTCTCATCCATGCCAATTCCCCAGATGTGATCATTCGTCGCCGCCTCCACCAGCTCTCTATCTCCCGTTCCTAGCAGAACGGCTCGAAGCTCCTCGTTTTGGCTAAATTTAGCCACGTTCGCAAGCTGCACCACCTCAAATTTGACGGCATCCCATTCTGCCTCTGTAAATCCTTTCACCTGTCTTCCGAGGGCTTTCTGCTTCCTCGGCTCTGGAGTTAGGAGGATCTTGTCCGCGGTCCCCAAGTCACCGAAGCGCATGGCTTTGCAATACATCATGCACTGCTCGGCGGTCATGAAGTTGACCGGGTCGTCCGGTCGCTCAAGTTTACTTGTGGGCAAGCCAACGGCAGAGTATATTTCGCCTTTGAGAACGCTGAATTTCGCGTGGTACCATTGGCTGAATTCGCCGTACTTTTTGCCTGTTCCATAGAAAAAGAGGGGGGTTGTGTCGTTCATTGTTATTGTTGCCAGGCGTCTAGTCGCTGCTGTCATAGAGGCGAAACCAACGCGAAAGAGAGTAAATTAAGTACTATGAAAATTAGAAAAAGACGGAATCAGATTCCTCTCTTAAGGAGTTATCATGTTCAGCTTTTGCAACGTTCGTATGCTCGATTATCAAGTGTTCAGCTTGAGACGGCACAAATACGCCTTGGCTGAGTCATTGGCCGAGGCTTGAAAGACTCAGCCCGGCGCTTAGGTAGCTCTGATCGGATCGTTCCAGGCTGATCGCCGCAACTAACGATCGCTAAAGTGCCACTTAATTCGCTAGTGCCGGCGCCTCCTCAGTCCCAGCCTCAGCTGAACGCATCAAAGGCGCTAGCACAATCGACAACTGACACAGAATAAGTGCGAGCCATCCCCCAAGGCTACATCTCACCAACTTCATTTTGGGCACGCATTTGAAATCATCATTTGTAGGCGTAGACAATTAAAGAGAGTTGATAGATGGTGCATGACTTACTGACTCCTCCCAAGGAAGATGAAATACGAACAACTAACATCATGGAACAGACCACGTACACAATTAGGCAATTTAGCAAGTAAAGTAGCCAGAACATTGATTATGTTGAGCTCTCTATTGAGCAAAAAAACGCAAATTGAAGTAAGCAGGGTATCGAATATCATACGTCATTGACTCTCCTTCATAGCTAATGCCTAAATATAAAAGCCGTGCCTTCCTTGAGAGCGCTCCTGGGAACAATCAACAGCTTCGAACGTCTGCATAAACCTTGGAACATTAGTGGCAAAGTGCGCCACCAGATACCAAGCCATGAGCAGGAATTCTGTCTGGGAGTGAGATGCCTTTAGTTTCATCGCGCTGATTGCACTCCTTATTAGTGCCGAAGTCACTACAAAGGCAATCAAATGCTCCTTTCAAAGCGCGATTAATTCATCAAAGACGGGTCGCAATCCACCAAGGTCAACCTAAAAAGAGACTGGACCATCTTGCGCTTCAGCTTGTCGGCTTTCAGTGTATGCAAGGCTAATCCCACCAATATCTCCGCTGGGTCTGAAGTGGGTTGTGGATTCCAAGGCGTCGCGTTTCTTTGTCCGCACTTCTCAATGTCTTCGGTATCGCTGCTCATTAAGTCGTTGAAAAATCTGGGGCGTATTTACTTTGCAGTTCCCGGCAGTATTATACCCTTGGTGCTACCGACTTCTTCAAGGCTGTCATTCGGCATGTCCGTCCTGTAGGGGCTGTAGGGGTTCATAGGGATCTTCGGGGTTCCCTTCTGCGAATCTTTCTGACTTCCTTTGCTTCCCTTCTTCGAGCTCTTCCAGCTTATAAAACCCAAAAGCTTGTTGTCTGAGCTGCGGTACGCGTCGGAAGGCCTGTTGGAACCCAGACCCTTTACGAGTCGACGCAGGGCTGGCAGGCATCCCGCAATCACAGCGACGTCCGTCTCGATAATTGTCCACGTAACCTTTGTTCCAAGCACCTCTGAACAGGTATGTTAATAGGTCTGAACTAAGTACCAATGAGTTGGGTATGTCGTGATATTCAACTTACTGAGATAATCATCGTTTTCAAAATAGGCCTTAGCTGATGGTAAGCGAACGAGAGTGGCAATGGAGGCAAGAGATCCAGCCCCCAGGACGACGCAAAGCGCAATCTTCCTCTGTTTCGGCATCTGGAGTTTCCAGATGATGAAGATGGGCAAAATGGTACATATCCAGTCGGTAACGATGTTGACACCGGAAGTGATGAATGTAATAGCGACCTTGGCGGAGTCGGGGTAGCACCAGCCGGGCGCCTCGTTCCAGATTCTCTGCATGGGCTGGCATTCGACGAGGATGAAGATATCGAGCATTATGGCGACGAAGAAACTGCATCCGATGATCGTCCAAAGAAGGATTCGTTGCCAGCGAATAATGGCGATTCGCAGAATTGTAAGACAGATGCTGCTCTTAATGAAAGCCATGGAAGTGAGGTAGAATAACTGCCAAAGGAACACAGCCTAGGAAAACATTAGATTGGTACTTGAAGGCAGTAGATACACGATATTCCGTCGCTTCAGAACATACTTTTAGACCCTCATTGTACGTCGGCCCTTGTTTACCCCCAGGGATATCCGAATCAGGCAGCCCAATGCCGTTGTACGCGCAGTAGCAGGCAAAGGCGTTCTGGACAAGATTCAAAACGTAGCCAGCGCCCATAAGATAATCCTCCCTCATCAACTCCTGATACCGCAGACGAATTCCGATTCGCAGAAAGAAAACCAGCGACATCAGGGCCGTGAATGTTATCGTCACAACCAAAAGGGCCTTGCCAAGCCCTTGAGGCTCGGCCGCCTCCCACCCTGCTTGCGTCATGTCGCCGCAACGATATTTTCCAAACTCGGCTCGAGAGGGAAGAATCAATTCCGTACAGCGGGCACCATAAATGGACAAGGCAAGGAGTGCCGACCACCCATATATACGACAATGGGCGGGGTCGACCCAGCGGTGTGTTCGTCATTGCTGTCAGCTGCGCACAAGTCAACAAGGCGAAGGAGTACAGCCCGCATGACTCGGTGGGTCATAGCTGGAAGTTGATAACATGATGCTAACGCCGATTGGAATGAGCTGCTGCGCAGTCTTTCACGCATGGGTTAGGTCTTAGCATGGGGAGGCTCTGTTACCGAAATTATCTGACCACATTTGTATCCACACGTAAGCTGAACTTGTCCCGAAGGATTACCGTCGTATATCAGCCAATAAGATTCAACACACGCTCGGGGCTAGACGTTTGACATTTTTAATTACTCAGTGTCTTACTGTTCCGATTGCCGTTCACTCAAGATTCTGAGATGGAACACAGCTGATAGGCTGGGATCGCTTGCCTTGACCATCGCGGATTCCTCCTCTTAGCAGTTAGTTCGCCGAGCTGAGAATTGCCCAGGAGGGAAATTCCAGTCATATCTTCAACACGTAAGCCCTTGGAAGACAGAATCGACTAAAAAAAGAATCTGCCGAAGCCGCTTCCCCGCACACGAGCTTTTGGGCTGAGAAGGACTTTGGTCCTCATTAAAGAATGCTGTGCCGACCTGTCAATTATCTGGAACGTCAATCTGAAGAGCTGATGATGCTGATGCCACAGACCACTCTTCTTTCAGCCTCGTCCATGCTTTAATGCGCTCTCTCAGCTCCTCCGTAAACACAAATTCAAGTCTTCCTCTCCTCAGGTTCCAGCCTTTACGGGTTGTGGACAGCGTATGACAGTTGTCGCATGGGTAATGTTTTTCTCTTATATTTTGATGCCTAAGATTATCTCCACAATGACGCAATTGGTCAATTCCTCATCAAAAGCAGAAGAAGTTCTGAGATATTAGTCATGTAGCAGTTCATATGCTTCACCTCTACTTCTAGCAAGTGATGTAGCAGATCCCTTTTCTGACAGAAGTTTCAATACCTGCTATCATTGATCTCATAAGTCAAACCAATAATTAAAGGCCTGTGAGAATGAGGAGTGAAGAGTGGTTGCCACAAGTTCTTTCACGAGTCTGTAGGGTAGGTAGACTGTGCCAGATCCCCGCATCGCTCCACTCACAATGCCGATGACCTCGAATCATCGTCCATTGAACAAGTTTGGCGGCAGATCAGAGAAATAACACGATGCGGCTCCTCAACCTTGAGACACTCCGCCTTGAAACCTTCCTCAACGATAGCGAAATCCCTCCTTACGCGATATTATCCCACACATGGGGCGCGAGCGAACTAAAGCTGCAAGACCTGGAGCTTCCCCGCGCCGAATTGGAAACGTACCCAGGATGGAAGAAGGTCGTCAACTTCTGCCGCAAGGCCAGGCAGAGCATGGAGATGTTCCCAGAAGAGGTCCGGTACGGCTGGGTCGACAGCTGCTGCATCGACAAGTCTAGCAGCGCCGAATTGAGCGAGGCCATCAACTCCATGTTCCGCTGGTACCGCGGCGCGTCGGCCTGTTTCGTCCTGCTCGAAGACGTAGAGCTGTCGGAGCTCTCGGGCACCGACAAGTTTGAGAGGTGCAGGTGGTTCACGAGGGGCTGGACGCTGCAGGAGCTGCTTGCGCCTCCGGTGCTCTATTTCTTCGACAAGGACTGGCGGTACATGGATGACAAGCTCACTCTGGCGGATAGGATCAGTGCCCGCACGAGCATTGACGTGGATGTGATCATGACCGGATCTTGGGAGGATATGAGCATCGCGCAGCGGATGTCGTGGGCTTCCACGCGGACAACAACCCGGGTGGAAGATATGGCGTACTGTCTTATGGGTGTGTTTGACGTCAACATGCCGACTATTTATGGCGAGGGAGAGAAGGCATTCATTCGGCTACAAGAAGAAATCATGAAGGAGTCGGCAGATGAATCAATATTCGCGTGGGATGCCTCAGCAAAGGATAGGAATCTAAACTCTATAGGTGCGCTGGCTACAAGTCCAGCTCAATTCCATTCCAGTCACCAGATCGAGGCACTACCAACGGAATGGAATCCGGCTTCAATCAACGCCAAGGGCGTGTATGCGAACCTTTCAATCATTAACCAGGAGCTACCTCAGGGGGAGCTTGTCAAAGTGGCTCTACTGTCTTGTAGATACTCTTATGACATCAATTCCCGCGTGGGCATACCGATACGGGCGAAGGGTGGTTCGCCAAATCGCTTTGCCCGAACCAACGCTGCGCCGGTCTCCATCCCGCTACAAGTATTATACCGAAACATGCCCCCGGCTATATACCTAGACAAGCGAGATCAATCTTCTGTCGCAGCCTCGAGGCGTGGCACATGTTGGGTGCAGTTTAGATCCACCAGCAAGGAGTTTGGACCGGTATATGAAGCTCTAGGACCTGAGTGGCATGTTAGCCCAACCCGATCGATGACAGCAAAGCTTCGAAGGCGAGGCGGGGGTCCGGACATCAACTCACTTGTCATACCTTTCCAGCATGAGAAATCTTCAGGAATTCTGTATCTGTCATTAAGGTTGGCCCTCTCCAGTGGAGTGGGAGCTCTTGGTATGAGGGTCATCCATGACGATCCAGAACCTGTAAAGAAGCGTGTTGAAGAGCTTCGAAACATGACCGACTTGATCGCTCTGGGGCCCCAGGAGCAGGCGTATTTCGAGCCATTGGGCAGCATCCTTGCGACTATAACCAAGTTGCACGATGACCAATCAGTTTTCCAAGTTGTTCTCTCAGCAAGGCTCAAGTCGCACTTGGGTCCATGATACCACATGTAGCCGTGCAGCTGGTAGCAAGTAGATACAAGAAACCAGTTTCCTGCATGCCTGAAGCTGTATCACAGAGTCTACAACCTTGGCTAGCGTGAAATTCGTGTCCCCAGCGAAGTCTGCTCGTACCGGGCCGAACTGTTATCTAAGTATTACTTGATTCCGAAGAGTGACTGTACAGCGAGACAGAGCTGATTCGGATGAAGTGCACAAAGCTGTTCTCTTTGTCTCGAGCCATAGAGGCGGAATATCCGTTGTGGTAATCAATCATTGATACCAAGTATTTTGAGCATGGTCAAAAGGACCCCCTGAAGAATTATCCGTTTCCCCCGGCATAGCGGGCAAAAGGGGCTCACTCGGCTCAGTGAAGATTGTCGTTGATGGCTGATACTCCACATGGACATCTGAGATGTTTGGGTTAGCCCAACCCTCTGTATTCCTGCCGAGACTGGGACTCAAAAGAAGGAAACTCCAAACCCGGCGGCTGGGTAGGTTAGCGTACCTTGGGGAGTAACAGGCGACACTATATTCTCGGGACTTTCCGAGTGGCTAGAACTGGTGCCCCCAGAAGACATCTCGAGTTGGTTTAGGACCTTGCGGATGGTGGTAGCCCCCTTGAGTGCCTCTGCAGACCTTGAAGCGGTCCGTGCCCAGATCGCTTCGCTCCTGGTGAGCAGGTCTTTGATGTACTCGAAAGCCGGGGTGCCTCTGATTTGCGGATTGTTGCTGATGTGCGAGCAGAGCACACCGCCAGCAAGAAGAAATTCGTGAATAATGACGGGAGCCAAGATCCATTTCACAGGGTAAAGCCTCCCGTTGGGTTCCATCTCATCGTCGATGGCGGTTTGGTGTCGTAAGGCCTGGATGGCTGCTGCCACGGCGACGTCTCGGGAGTACTGGTTCTCATCTGTTTTCAATGAGGGGGCAAGGTATTTTGAATGAAGGATGATTTGGATGTGGTGGTACACTAATTGGATAAACAACCGCTGTGCAGCGAATGTGTGAGTTAGTCTTTGTTGGTCTAGGTGAAAAGAAGGATTGTTCAAACCTGGCATGTTAAGTTTGGAGGATCCAATAGGGATTCTTCCATGCTTGTAAATTTAACACATGCAGGAAGTTCCTCAAAAACTTTGGTTAGCATGCTGTCTAGCTCTCGCACCCGTGCGTATGGTATGGGCTCTTTGCTGGTAACAGCATCAAGAACTTTGGAAGAGACGGAAGCCAGCCGGTTCTTCGAGATGGTGATCAGTATCGGGGTCAGCTGAGACTCAGGCCTAGACTCTGGCAAGACAATGGTCTCGGGGCCGAAGTCGGTATCGAACAAATTACTGGGCTCCCTTGTGTCGACGATGGAATCCTTGATCAGCTTTGGCATCTTGAGCTGCGTCGAGACCCCCATATCGATTTGGTAGATAAGTGCCCATAGCCGGCGCCTCATCTCGCGCTCGAACGGGATCAGGCTCTGGAATCGATCTCCGTCTTGGTGATAACCATAACTTAGAGCTGCAAGTGATTTATCGTCAGCCAGGGTACCCTCGAGCCTAGAATAGGCCGTTCTGGAGACGACTCGCCACTCCTCACGTACCAATTGAAACTAAACTCTGAAGCACTATCCAAGTGCCCGAGTCGGCATCTCGCCTGATAAACTGCTCCCCAAGGATGTAATGTAGTAATGTCTCGGGAATATGTGGCCCACCCTTATGATGCTCAGACAGAACAAGTGCCTGGACGGTCTTTTCCCTGAAGCTCTCCATGCGTCTGGAATCTTGATGCTTTTCGGTGCCCAGTTGCAGCACCTCGTCCGAGCCAAGCGTATGTGCGTTGTGTAAGATAGTAGCAAGGGTGAGGACGCTGAATAACAGCGCTAGCCATGATGTCGGGGCTGAGGTTGTCGGAGGGTCTTGCCAAAAGTCTTCATACTGTTTCATGAATTCCCCGTGGTGGAGGATGACCTGGGTCATGATGTCAGATCACTACACTTGGCATATCCTTGGCAAGAAATGGGAACTGTGGGAAGTCTGGTGACCCGCTTACAGGAGAGTAGCTATATGTTTCAAAATAGTAACTGACGAGGCGGTCCGACTCGATCTTTGGCGGAACGGTCGCTATCAGGTCCGCTCTTGAAACGCGACTATAATTGCCGAGCAGGAGGAAGTCCACGAACTGGGGTAAGGCAGTGGCTACATGAGATGAATGGTCTTCGGGTGGCTCGCCAGCTTTTTGCGAATCAATATCGGAGATGCTGTTAAGTACGGACGTCCAGTGAAATCCTTCGCGATGGTTGGATGGCGTGCCGTCTGCTGTGGAAGCTTCACTTGGGCTAGACAGGTCCCTCGCCGGATCTCCCGGCTGGTCCTCCGCGTGGGCAACGGTGGCATGAGTATCTACGACGTTGTTAGATGGCCTCCTACAGGGTTGGTGATGGGTTTCAGATGATGAGCCTACCGGAGCGGGGTGCTGGGGTTGATGGTTTAGGTCGTGATGTGGTGGCGGTGGGTGGTGGGTAGGAGCATGTATCTGCAATATTGCTTTTCTACTTGGCCATTGACCATCCAGTCACATGATAAGTACTCGGAATCACAAGTGTCTGCGAACAAAAGCAAAGGCAGACGCTGACGGGACAACTCACGGTACAGGCAGCACATGGGAGCTGACGGTCACACTTCAATCTGCGCGACAACTGGTGAGCATGCCAAGGGACCTCCCTGTCCACCCTACGAGATGCACTACGCACAGGCAGAGGCGTATTACGGATGAACATACTTGCGGCGACGACATGCATGGCAGGACAGCTGCGGCTTGTCTCGACGGCGGTTCGGAGGCGGTCGGGGTCGTGCAGGAGGAGCCCCGTGCCCTTCTCCCGGCTTCTCCATCGGGGCCGGCTCGTTTAGGTAGTGGCCGCGGGAGGCTGAACGAATGGACTCTTGCGCGAGCGGGAGCTTTTCGTGTCTCTCCCTATCAGACGTGTGATCAGAAAAGAGGAAACCAGGGCAAAGCGAGCGCGGGGACTGGTGGAAGGGGGAAATCTCCTTGTCTGGCTCCACCGCTTCTTGTCGGACGGTCGGATATTGTTGCGTTTCAGGGGTCTGACCCACCCTTGGGCTCTTTATTAGCTTTCTTGCAGCTGTGATCTGGCCTTGGATTCGCGCTCGCGGCAGTTGAGAGCGGATGCCAGAGCCGGTCTATTGCAGCTGCCTGTGGTTACTACGACGTAGTGATGGACGGGCTCGGCGTCTATCTTCACCGACCCTGGTGTATGAGGTGAGGGTGAGAAGTATATAATAGACTGGCTTGTCTCTGCTTACCCCCTATTTCCATACGTTCATCACCTTCTCAGACGCGGCAACGGAACTCGCCATGCCACTTACAAACGTCGTCATCCTAGGCGCTGGGCCCTGTGGCCTCTCAACCGCCATTGCCCTGGCCAAATCATGCAAGACAGCCGTCAGCAGTCAGCCACTCCGCATCACGGTGATTGAGCTGCGGCCGAAGATACAGACCATTGGCGGCACCGTGAACATGACACCTCTTGGGATGCGGTACCTCGATTACCTTGGCGCAGGCGAGCGTCTGCGGTCAAGATCAATCTCCCTCGACCACGGCGTCGACGCTCTCTCCCTGCGGACAGGGAAGCGACTTGGTAACGTGTGGGGTGGCATTGGAGCTCGTCGCACTGCTCGATACCCCCTCGTGGACAGCCTTCTCGAGACGGTGACGCAGAATCACCAAGAGCACGTTGAGGTGCAGTGGGGACGCAAGGTCACAAATATATATGAGAAGGACGAGCAAGTGCATCTAGAGTTCGAGGACCATCCAACAATGCATTGTGATCTATTGCTTGGTTGCGATGGCATCCACTCTAGCGCACGCCGCCTTTACATCGAACCCGAGAGACAAAAGATTTTCACAGGCCGTGCCGTAGCTATGGGATGGGTTGAAGTAGATGCGAACGAGGCCTCGGACGCCACGGCCTCGCCTATTACGTTGTCTACTGGGGAACCCGGACTGGTAGACACGGCTGTGGTCAACGGCAACGGCAACGGTAGGCACTTGATCATGACCTATTTCGAGCCGAGCAGGCGCAATGTTTTCTTTGGCCACGTAATGTGGACAGGAGAGCCAGAAGGCGAGGAACGTGACGGCTGGAAACTTCGTGGAGACGACAAAGAAGCTATCAGGAAGGAAGTTGTTGAGTCTTACAAAGGAGGGCGTGTCAGCGGTCTTGATGAATTCATCTCCAAGTGTGAGAGTTGGGATCTCTATCCGATCTATTCTTTACCACCCGGTGGCCGCTGGCATCGGGGCCGTGTCCTACTATTAGGAGATGCGGCACATGCGGTAAGCTATAACCGCGGAAGCTCTCATAACATGTTTGAGTACTAATATATGATTCGTCCGCATAGATGCCGCCGCAGGGAGAGAGTACTGGTATCGCCATTGAGGATGGGGTACTTATTGCGCGGATACTAGAACAACCGAGTACCAAATCTATTGACCAGATGTTCGCGGACTACGAAAAGGTCCGTCGACCTGTCATAGACAAGCATTACGTGGATGCAGAGCGGATGGCCAAATTCGGGTTTTCTAATACAACCGGCCTCGCCGCCATCGCCATGGAATGGATCACGTCCGCTTATATGTTTGTGAGGAAATGGAACCAGACAGCTGATTTTGCAGGAGATGTGAGAGAGTTGGAACTGCCAGGCGAATCTGAGAAGAACACAAAATGATGAGCCTGAAGAGTGGACAAATGAGTATTGTGAGTTGGTAGTGATACCAGGTGGGTGGATTGAGATATGCTATAATTTGATTGTTCTTTCATTGCGGTATTTTGGCAAGACTAGAACGATGTGTCTGATATTTCAAAGAATAATCTACCAAAACTACGGAGAAGCAGCTGCGATGATAGCCTGGAGATGAATCGACAATCATGTAAGTTAGCAATAAATAACACAATGAGTGAGCAGTACTTGTCGTGATGTCTAGCCCATCACTTCTCCCGTTGATGTGTTCAAATATTATATCGCTGCTGCCCAGTTGTTGTTTGCATAGGTTCATCGCTCGTCATGATCGTGGTCTAATCATCAACTGACATGCGAAATCACAACCTTGACACGTAGCTATAGCAGACTCCATACGGCGGCCAAGATTGATTACCCCGTACGCAAACCTTGTGATGTCAACCACAATACTAGATCCGCGTGTTTCGTATGAGATCCTTTTTGTCGTAGCGGACTCAAGCGTTGGCAACGACTGGTTTAGGAGAGTTGGTGATAAAGTCACTGCCCAGGTGCAAACATCCGTGATTCAAGCTTGGCCTTGGAAAAACATGAACAATAAAACGGGATTTAATCAGTCGTGTGCGATTAAAGAAGACTGCTCCGTTGGGTCTGCAACGCATGAAAGCATAAACATCAGCTTTGGTTTAGATTGGCCACATCAGCAATAAACCCTGCAATGCGGATCATCTAACCGGTTTATACTAAGCCCACCGTGTTGTCAGTAATAGAACTCGCCTATATCAATGCAGAATGACGACTTTTTTGGTTAATAACTGGTAATGATGAATCAACACTTTTCTTGGACGATGCTCCTTGTTCTTTCCCCTGGGATACCTGTCCCCTCTGCATTGGCTTGCCTGAGTGAAAGCACTTGCAATGACCTTACCTCATCGTACATGATGTCTGCAAACGAATTTTGCTCTACATAAATAATGAGACCATCGACTGCAGAATCTAGGCATACGGTCTGTACAACAGCAGCATCAAGGAATCCTCATCTTCATACGAATAACATGGATCCTCTTCACACTCGTAACAATGCCCTCAAGGTCAACCCTCCGGGTGGCCAATCCCACCTTTCTGTGAATGGCTCCAACTGGCTCTTTGCTGTGATGGCTTGTTTCACAGTGTCCTTTGTCCGTTCCGTCCAGAGCCACTTGCGATTCTGATTCATCTCACTGACACTCGCATATTCCAGCTTGCATACTATGGGCTTAGTTTTAAGCCAAGGAACGGAGAAAAAGTCTTCCACTACCTATTCACCATCGCCCTGCTCGTGGGCTCCATCTCCTACTTCGCCATGGCCTCGGGACTTGCGTACTCCGTCATCCCAACAGAACGTTATATTTTAGATGCTGCGACTTACCAGATATTCTTTGCCAAGTATATTTTCTGGGTCGTCGCTTTCCCTGCGATCATTATTGCCCTCGGACTTGTCAGCGGTGTAAGCTGGGCGACGATTTTCTACAACGTCTGTGTATCTTGGGCCTGGTACGTCAAGATTTAGCGTTTTATCCCATGTCAACAACCTTTACTGACTATTTTATAGGATCATCGCATATCTCTGCTCTGCCTACACTGCCACCCGCTACAAATGGGGATTTTATGGCTTCGGAACCGCTGCCTATGTTATTCTGGCTATCCAAACCTTGTGGACAAGCCGATCTTCAGCCAATCGCCTCGGTACAGGGCGCGATCATACCATGCTGGCTGGATACGTCAACCTCTTTTGGTTTCTATACCCTATCGCCTTCGCCGTCTCGGACGGAGGCAACGTCATAGGCGTGACCCAGAGCTTCATCTTCTTCGGTATCATCGATCTCCTGCTCGTGTGTGGCACCGCATTCATCTTCCTCTTCCTCGCACGCAAGTGGGACTACGGGCGTATGAATCTACATTTCACCCAGTACGGTCGTGTCAATCGCACGTATGTCGAGAAGCATGCTGTGCCCGTCGCCGCCCCAGCCAATCCTGCTACCCGCGTTTGAGCGAACTCGCAAACTCGAGGCCTTTTGAGATAAGATGAAGAGTATAAACGATAACTTGAGAATTTATGGAGAGGAGAAAGAGGATATAGTGCTGGTTGGGGGTGGAAGGACTTGTTGATGGGTTTGGGAAATCTTAAATTGAGGAGGAAGGTCTACATTTCTTGTTATAACAAGTTTTCGAGTTTGATTTATTTGTGCAAAGTATCTGTTCAATAATTTTATAGCGAATATTTTGAAGCCACGGAGGAATATACAGACTGGTATAACGGCCACGCCTCCGGGTAAAGCTCCCACGTTGTAGACTGATCGCTTATGAACAACGTGGAGCTGCACCCCGAAAATAAAAGAGCGTGTTAGATTGAGATAAAAAAAAAGCCACCTGGGAAAGGCGCATAATAGTAAGAGCGCGGCGTTCGATCTTAGCTAGAAAGCCGTCTGATTTGAAGATGCGGCTAAGGGTTTCACTACGGCTCAAGGCGGCTGTTATTGGGGAGCCAACTTTTTCATTGGAAGCAGCCATTTATTGCGTGCCTGGGCCAAATACAGGAGTTTTTGAATACGATATCGGCGGTTACTTCGGCATGCTTTGGTGGAAGGGCTGGGCGATTAGGGCTTGAACATCAAAGCTGGCTGTGGTGCAAAAAATACGAACTTGAACTTAATATTCAACCTGGGACGCGAACCCTAAAAAGCAGGATGATGGTCGTTGGCACAAAAAGAACGAACTATGGGATTATAGAACAGTTTTTAACATTGAAAGCTGTGTTATAGATGCGTAACTCAGTGCCCAGAATTCAGTACGAAGATCTTTCCGAATCCAGCATTGCTCGCAATCTCGAGATTAGGTATAGAGGCTTTATGAACTTTTTAGTAAGATTGTGTTAGTGTGTGATCAAATTATCTAACGTGGCACAGATTTAGGTTTGTGGTTTGACAACTTGAACCTACTTCACCCCCTAATGTTGCGGTAGAATATCATAATGTGGCAATCTGGCCTTAACACGAGCGATAATAATTGGATATGCCGAGCGCAAAGTCGATTTCACTTGTGACGTATTTTGATCAGGGCCAACACTCCACAACAAGAGCGAGTCTTTCTTGTTGCTGCTCATCGCAATTAGTCCGCTTCATCATACATCCCAAGTGATCCCACATACCTCCTTACTTGCGAACCATCATCGTCGAAAAAGAAAGCGCTCATTAATACAAGATGGCTCAAGAGACAGAGAAGAAACTGGTGCTCGTTACGGGAGTTACTGGATACATTGCTGGTCGTACAGCCGAGGCATTCCTCCAAGCGGGCTACCGAGTCCGAGGCACAGTTCGAGACCTCAGCTCTGCGCGCCAGACACAGAAGGCTCTCAGCCAATTCGGTAGCCAATTCGAAATTACGGTTGTCCCGGATATCTGCGTTCGTTGGGCGCTGAATGAAGCAATGGAGGGTTGTACTGGCGTTGTGCAGATTGCCGCGCCCATGAAGGTTTCAGGACAAAAGGCGATTCCCGCCGTGGAAGAGGCCGTCAGTATCGTCAACAATGTCCTTGAAACGGCCAGCGAACATCAATCTGTCGAAAGCGCCGTTCTCATGTCGACAGTGTCCGCTATTCGACGCAGCGGTACTGGGCCGCATACATTTACAGAGGAGGACTGGAATACTGAGGCGGAGGAGATGTTCAAGACAGACCCGGATAATATGTCGGGCGGAATGATCTATAAGGCCGCCAAAGTAGCTGCAGAACGGGCATTCTGGAAGTACAGAGAGACGAATAAGCCGAGTTTCGCGATGGCAGCTATCAACCCTTCTTTCGTTCACGGGCCGCCACTCGTCGTACCAAACTCGGTCTTCAAGATCAAAGGCACAACAGGGTTCATCGTCAGCATCCAAGCCGGCCTCGATGGCCCCGACGTCTTCAAGACTTACCCTTGGTGGGTTGATGTCCGCGATGTCGCACGAATTATTGTTTTCTGCGTTAAGAACCATACTGACGGCGAACGGTTCCTGGCGGTGTCCGCGTACGGCCCCCAGCAAGCTGTTGCTGACGTTCTTCGATCGGTGCGACCCAACAGCAGGGTCGAGAGAGGTGTCCCAGGGGAGGGCTACGCTATGCCAGGTTATCGAGCCCCAGAAAATGAGGATCAGATACTCGATGGCTCCAAGCTCGTTCGAGTGACGGGCCAAGACTACATTTCCTACGAGCAAAGTGTTGTCGACACAGCGAATGCTTATGAACCACTCCTTGCCAATCTTGGACCGTCGATTTACATTAAGAAGATGTCGCAGAAAATCTTCTCATATTTGATGCCAAGTAGCAAGTGAATGGCGGAGGCAAGACTCTTTAGATGTGAGAGCAGAGCATTAAGCCTGAGCATCAAGGATAGCTTTAGTACAAATGCCTCTTTTCATAGATAGTATCAACTCAGTGATGCCTCAAAGCGAACAATTTTTGCGGTCACAAATATAGACTGGAATAAGGAGGTCGAGGTAGCAGAAACGTAGGGGCTTAATACGGCACTTAGATTCTGGTGATCCCATAGCTGCAAACCATACTCGCGCCCTGGGTCTCCTTTACTGCAGTCTCTGTTTTTTTGACAGCCGCTTGCCACCCCCCCTCGATTACATAAATAATAAAATCAAGGGATCTATACTTTATCTTTCAACCTAGTGAAGTGATGTTCGAGAAGTGGTCGACAGAAGGCTAACCATAACAAGATCATGCCATTGATGTCGCTGCGTCTCCGAAATCAAAATTCGGTTCCAGAAGATCACCTTCGAGGGTAGAGTTGCCCTTGTGATTATCCTCGCCGGGAGGAGTTGGTGTCTCTAGAACTGAGCCCATGTTGACTAACTCAGCACGTTAGCATTGGCCTCACTCAATCACCATCGTTGTCTTTCATCACATCAACCAAGACTTACAGTCAAACGTCTCCATGGGGTCAGTGCTCAAGCCTTGCTCCCCGAAATATACACCTTCCCGGTTGCTTGTATCAAACAAGAAAGGGTCGAGAAGCTGCCCTGATGGTTCTGCGCCGACCAAGTCGGTGAATAGTCCGCCTGTAGCATTGGAAAGAACGAAGTTGACTGCCTCTGCGGCTTTCTGGGCTTCTCGGGAGTTACCGCTGCCTCTCATCCAGATTGTTCGAGTCTTCCGTAGCTCTGACTTAATCTCTTCCTCTCTCCCTAGCGTCACCCCGCGGTGCAACATCGAGCAAAGGATCATCGTCGCCGTCAGGAACTGATTATTCATTATTGAGGAGACTCGCCACCGCATCATGGATATTTGTCCCCCGGGGCGTGTCTCCTCATCTAGAATCCCCTGAATCTCGAGCATGCTCAGCGATGCTTCTAAGCACGTCTTCTGAGAGTAAGCCTGAATATCCTCTCTTGCCGAGGTAAACATATACGGCTGGCGGAGCATTATCTGTCCCTTGTAGAATAAATGACCGATGAATAGTCGCCACATTATCGCATGAGGTGGATCAGTTATACTAGCTGCCATGGGTCTCATCTTCATTGGAGGGGGGATACTGTCGGCTGCTCGTTGTAAAGCGCTGTCGGCACGCATGACCTCTTCATATGTGCACGGTGTAACAGCGGCTCTAAGTTCCGAGATTTGACCCAGGGCTTCTACGATCCTCCTCATCGCAATGACGCCCAGTATCGGAGTGTATTCAGTCTCTGGTCGCGATGGAGGTAGCTCAGTCATACCACTCGAATGAACTGAATCGAGGTCTGCATCAGTCAGATTTCGGGGCTCGGCGGTGTCGTACTGCGCAGCCGAGATCATGCGAGGCATTCCCACTTGGCCAGAAATGATGATATTTCCCATTAAGAGCGACGACCATATCCGGCGCTGCATCTCAGCCTGGAGGGGTGTTATCCCCTTGAACTTGCTCCCGTCACGGTGATAGCCCATTCGCATTGCCATGTTTGCGACAATGCCGAAAAGGTACCACAAGTCAGTGTTGGCATCTGGATGGATGGCGAACTCTATATGAGCGTAATGAATCATGGTCTCTAGGATATGCGGGCCGGTTTTGGTGTATTCAGCCAAGGTAAGACATTGGACAATCTTTTCATGATATGAATCGATCTGGAGGCGCAATCGTTCGTCTTCAGCCTTGTCCTGGATCTCATTGTTATCTTTTGAGGCAAATACGGAAAGGCAGATGATTGTAAATAGCAGGCCAATCCAAGCGATTGGAGTTTCAGAAGGCGCTTCCCAGAATTTTTGATACTAAGTGAATGTGAGCAAACAAGCGCCGTATGTCAATGAAACAGGACCTTGGATCATAGCTTACCTCGCGAAGAAAGCTGTGGGAGTGGATAACAGCTTCGAGAAATCAGCAAATGAGATGTAAGGACCACAGGATTGTACCAACAGTAAGCTAACGAAAGATGGTTGAAATAAAACGAAACATAGCGGTCTACCACTGGCTTAGGTGGTAGAGCAGACAAAATCTCGTCTCGCGACCGAGCATGAGGACAGCCATAGAGGAGAAGGGCATGTGGGGATCGGCGTCTCATGGACGGATCGCCATCTCCGACGATATCATCCATCCTCGTCTGCTCATCTCTATCAACATGATGCTTCAAGTCGGAAATGCTTTCCAGAATAGCAGCCCAGTGGTCATCACCAATGTAGGGAAGCTCTGTCGCTGTGGCACTGATGCTCCCACACTCTGAACGGATCTCCGCGGAGGTATCGACGACTGTATGATCAAGTACCTGAGCACTCGTGACGCCGCCACTGGTGCCTGAAGCTGTGACAGCGTTGGGGCTAGGCTGACTTGAAGGGCCTGGCATTAGAACTTTGACCAGTCTTTCCAAGTGGGTTAGGCGGTCCTGCAATGTGGGTTGTGGTTCGCCAATGGACGATGAAGGTACTCCATTGTTAGGATTTTGTGCATATATGCAGGAAACTCCGCGCCCGGCGCAATTATAGCATGGCTGCTGGCGATCACATCTCAGCCTAAAGTCGAGGCTGTCAGTCAAGCGTACATCTTCCCTAACTTGCAACATCAACAAGAAGGGAGGCTTACTTCTTGTGCCGGCAGAGATTGCAAGAAAGCTGCGGCTTGTCACGGCGCCGGCTCGTACTCGGTCTCGGTTTGCCCGCATCAAAGCCCCGACGATCCCCCTCACTTGAGATGAGGAGGGGTTGTTGGGATGCTCCAGACATCACAACGAAGTCCCGCTGCTGCTCCTCGAAAACCCTTTTCGACCACGTGCAGGTACTTTGAAACGTGTACTGGTCGTATATGCAGGTCTCTCAGCGTTGATCGCACAATTGAGGGATGGTGGTCGAAGCCTCTTACCGAAATCTGACATGCAGTGAAGTCCGTCACCGGACTTAAGGCCAAATGTGCAAAAGAGGGAATTTTTAGCGCGAGACTTGTGCAGATATATTTTAAAATCTGTGCTTTAGTGAAATATGCATATGGGGTCTATAAAGATCTCCCCGAGTTATATAAGGATATATTAAAATTTATATAAGAAATGTATTATATTTTTATAGATAGAAATAACACTTTTATATCGTACCTAAATTCTGGTGTAAATGTATTTTTCCTTTCACGTGGTATTACCTCGACTTCAGACACAGATGTCCATCATTACTCTCTATAGACGATCGCTTTCTCACCCCTCCGAGCTCTCCATTTGTTGGTAGACACAATAATCTCAGGGCATCCTTGTACCAAAAGCCCCCATTTACGCAAAAATGCAGCATTGATCTCCCAAGCATTCCAATCTGAAGGCTCGCCCCATACAATCATGGCGGCACTACCACTCAGCGTATCGTCTCTCACGCCAAGGATATCGTCGCAAAGCTCGTCATCACTGAGCAAACCTAGTGCCATATATCGGAGCATGTTGTCTCGTAGGGCAGCAAATGGCAGAAGGTCGATCCAAGGATGGTGGGTGACGCTGCGCTGCAGCGATGTGGGCTGCAACGTCCTTGGATAACACCCATATGAGTCCTCCGGAGGTGACGGACCAGGGAGGTTGAATAGTGATATGAGATCGACATTACACAGGCCTATTGAAGATATATTCAAGAGGGCAGCATTGCGTGCGAGGGCGTCGAGGACGTTGATCCTGATCAAAAACGGCAGGGTGCTTAGTCTTAGAGACTTGAGAGCGTACTCCGTGTAAGCCTGCTGAAAAAAGGCCTTGAGGGTGGATGCCTCGTCTGGTCGAACTGGAAGCAGAAGGCCCGCTCCGACGCTGTCAATTTCGTGTTCCCTTGAATATAGCGAGGGGGCAGAATTCTGCCAAGCCCCGGGCACGGCATCACGGGAGTCTTCTTTAGTCAGGTTCTTTCTTCTTCCTATGCTCAAAGCCACATTAGCTCGACGTCATGGTGAATGTTTTTGGGGATTGACTCACGCCATGCTCTTTGGTTCAACCGATTCTGCAATTTCTTCCTCTGGGCCGTGCTCGTCACACCTGTCCAGTCGTCCGCCTTGGTCCACAGATCAGGGAGACTTGGGAGACTCCCGAGATTGGGACGCTGGGCCAGTAGTATTTGCTCGTTAGAATCCATGGAGCATAGGTAGATCTCCAGAGTATGTCCCTAAGAGGGGAGGCTCGGCACTTATATGCAAGCAGCTTATTTCATGGTGGGGTGGGGCTGTCGAGAGGACGAGTCATCACTCCCTCCATCGCCATCAAGGCGCTTTGCCAAGTGGGGTGAGCTAATGCAGCTGGCTTATGTACTGGTGTCCCCTATCAATAGCTTGAGGTACGGCGCTGAGAGTGGCATGTTGTTCCTTAATATCGAGCTTCAATGAGAACTATATATTCCTTACTTTTCTTGTTGCCAGTATGCCGACTCATGCCAGAGTACTGGTCGAGGCTTCAACTTACAATAATCTCGAGGATACTACACTCAACCCGTCTCCCCAATGTTCACTTTTCATCTGAATAAACCCGCCATCCCCTTTGGCAGCTTAGTTGTCATTTCTGGCGTGAGCGGCTTCATCGGGTCTCATGTCGCGGATCAAACGCTTGCTGCAGGCTACAGAGTTCGCGGGACCACCAGAAACTTACAGAAAAGCGCGTGGGTAGAGAAGCATTTCAAGGAGAAATATGGCACAGACAGCTTTGAGCTCGCCTGCGTACCAGACATGGCTGTGGAAGCTGCCTTTGATGATGTGGTTATCGGTATGACTGTCCCATTCCTGTCCTAGATACAGTTGTTTAATCAGTTCATAGGCGCCGCCGGTTTCATCCACGTTGCAAACGACATGACCGGTTCCACGGATCCGAAGATCGCAATACCCAAAGCCGTCGACGGTGCAATCAACGCACTGAAAGCATCGGCGAAAGAGCCTAATATGAAGCGGTTCGTATACACGTCGTCTTCATTCGCAGCAGCTTTACCGAGGCCGAACGAGAAGTTCACCGTAAAGGCGGATACATTCTATGAAGAGGCTGTCAAAGGCGCCTGGGGGCCCAGTCCTCATCGACATACTGTGTACTCTGCCAGCAAAATTGCAGCTGAGCGCGCAATCTCCGCATGGGTCGGCAACAACAAGCCATCAATAGTTGTGAACTTTGGTACGCTTTCTCCAGATGCTGTCACCGATGATTTGCTGACGTGGCATCCAGTCCTTCCCAATGCCAACATAGGTCCAGTGATCAGCCCATCCAACCAGGGATATCCGACATCAGCGGGCTGGGTCAAGACGCTTTGGGACGGCGACTCACCCAAAAATGCCCCGCCTCAACACTACATCAATGTACAAGATGATGCAAAGCTGCATGTCATTGCCTTGACACATCCAGCGGTGCAGCGCGAACGTATCTTTGCGGTGGCCGGGCCTGTTAGTCTCAATGATATAATCAGTATTCTCCGCAAACTATATCCAGAGAGGCAATGGGAGAACTTACCTGATGAGGGGAAGGACTTGAGTACTTTTGAACCGATCCGGAGGGCTGAAGACCTTTTGCTGGAAGCGTATGGAACTGGTTTCGTGAGTCTTGAAGAGAGTGTCAAGGGAAATGCCGTAGATTTGGTGTCTTGATACTATCGGCCTCATTACGTGGGCCCTCAAGAGAACTGACTCCCAAGATAGCTTCTGCGGACATTCACTACTTGCCAAGTTTTCTCATGAGCTTGGCAAATGCAATTTGTCGTTCAAGAAATATACATGTACATACACATTGCAATATTGATATTCAAGCAGATGAAAGTGAGGCTAAACGCTTATCAAATTCTCCTCCATTATATGCACTACAGTAATTTATACAAAAAAAAAAGTTATCTTATAAAAAGTAATTTATATTAAAAAAAAAAAAAACTAATTCTATAGTATTTCTTTAAAAATAATTAAAGAATAAAACTCTTAAAAATAAAATTTAAAATTTACTAATTTAATAAGAAAGACTAAGTTACCTTTTCTCTTATAAGTTATTAGTATTTCTACTAGTTGCTGACTCCGTCTACGGTGACGTACCTCGGTCGGCTAACTTAGGCCCGCCAAGTCGTGAAGCGAGGGGAGGAGAAGGTGTTTAGCTAAGTTACAACCGACCCTCCGAATTATCAAAATCTGCCTCGGACCATCCGCGGCCCCACCTTGAAGCAAAAGGTATAAGATGTGCCAACTCTAACCACAAAACGCAATTCCTTTTGTTCAATATCGCTAGAGACATTTGACTCACAATACTTCATCTACTACTTTTTTCCAAGGAAAAAAAATCACCATGACTCTCATTGTTCACCATCTTCAAGTCTCCCAGTCGGAGCGCATCCCCTGGCTCTGCGAGGAGCTCGGCATCGACTATGAGCTCAAGAACTACAAACGAGCTCCCATTTTCGCCCCGCCAGAATACAAGGCTCTGCATCCCCAAGGCACCGCCCCGACCATCCAAGATGGCGATCTTTTTCTCGCCGAAAGCGGTGCCTGCATCGAATACATCTACCACAAGCACGGTCCCAGTAATCCAAACGGGCCAAAACTCTTTCTGGAACCGGCCGATCCAGCCTACGCTGAATTCCTCTACTGGTGGCATTGGTCCAATAGCAACTTCCAGTCATCACTCACCCGATCCATGCTGGTGCAACGCACCGGTCTAGGAGACGACAATCCGACTGTCAAGTATGGAAGGGAGCGCTTTGCGGCGAGTCTGAAAACACTTGACGATAGGCTGAAGGGAAACAAGTGGCTTGTAGGAGAAAAATTTACCGTGGCCGACATCATGCTTGTGTGCTCTTTGACAACCATGAGGTACTTCTTCTCTTATAGCCTGGGTGGTTATGGCGGTATTCTTGGTTATCTTCAGCGTGTTTCGGAGAGGGAGGCGTACCAACGAGCAATGAAGAAGAGTGACCCGGGCATGGAATTGGTTCTAGGCGCTGAAGGTCCGTCGAAGCCATTTGGTATGTAGATATACGTAACAATCTCTTCTAAATACAGTCCCCTCTCACATAGAATCATACCTCGTTGAAAGGCTTCTCTGAATATATTTGTGCTGCCCCGATCGAGGCAAGCAGATCTGCGAATTGAACCAGACTAAACTGGCGGAAAGCCAAGGGGGCTAGGGATTCAAATAAAAGATTAAAACCTATATGAAAAGGCCCAAATGTAGCAGAAGGCCATTCCATTCTAATATGACCAGCATGCTGTAAAAGTAAACCATTAGACTTTAATGCATATCTCAATTCAATAGCAACTGAAATGTGAGAACGGTGGAACCATAAACGTCCCCTCCGCAGACTGTGTCTCAAATGACCCAATGCAGAACTTGGGGTTGTATCATAATCGTCGGACCTTTGCGCTGCATAACAAGTAGAAGAAGAAACAGTTTAGCTTAACGTGGAGAAGTGCCCACTCCCTTAAATTTAACTCAGAGCCCTGTGAAACTTAAGATTGATAACGGAGTGAGCGGCCGACATGAAACTTGGCACCAAATCGCCGTGTTCGGTTCCGAGCGGGAATCATTGGACATCATACGCCTTGATCGGCAATGATAGACGGAATATTAAAGGAAGGATGTTTTGATGAAACCGCTTGCGGCCTCTTTACTCTGTTTCGCGCTTATCGCTGTCAGCCTGTGTTGGGGACTTGCCCGTACATCTAGTCTTCAATTTTGATCTGAAATGTGTCCCGATTGTGTGGGTCAGTCTCCTCCTCTCTTTGTTTGTGGGAGGTGGATATTAAGCATATATTTGATCCTATTATGACTATTGTTGCCTTTGTAATCGCCGATTAATTCCTTTTTATGCTAATCTTGCTCTGGAGTTGGGGCCATTGCTTCGACTGCCCTGGCCCTTGTTTTTTTGGAGGGCTTCATGAATGACTTGTCTCTGTGTGGGTTTGATGTGCTGTCTAAATCGCGATCACATTTTATTAAGGCTAACATCACTTGAAACTCTAGACTGTATTTAGGCTATGCCTCAGTCGTGGGATGCGTCCCAGCAAGAGAATAAATCTTGGCTGTTTCACCCAATACAGGGAGGCGCCCATCCGCTAACAATATCCAAATCAAGTAGACCCCAGTTCCATCTATCCAGGCTGGTACTTCTTCTTGTTGTCCAATTGTCCTTTCTCCAAAAGTGCCAGCGTAGGCAATTGGAAGGTGGTTTCAACTGCCAAGACGGCTTATTGAGTCTCTCAGAGGCGTGAGAGCGTCATAATTCAGTCAGCAGAAAACACGCCATGAATGCGCCCTCCAGTGAGAATTCGTTCCCCTTGGCTTTTCGGAAATTAGACTCCGATGTCGTTCAAGCAGATGCGCGGGAGGATCTGCAACGAGAAACTTCACAATACGCCCTCTTCCTCCTTCCTATAACACGCTCCGACCTACCCTCTCCGGCTAGCCCTTGCGATTACGCTATTTGGATGACAGGTTTCTCCATTGCGCGTTTCCTCCATGCGGAAGATGTATCTTACCCCTGACCCGGGAATAGCCCGAGGGAATCGGGCATATTACCGGTGGATTGGCCTATCACGCGAACTGTTGGCATTCCGGGTGCCTGGGACGGCATCTTCATGTGATTCGGCTCCGTCCAAGAAGGGTTCGTGGGGATGCCGCGCGCGAATTTGTGACACTCACATCAAACCTGTGGGATATTGTAGGGACTGCCAAGACCTCAGTAAGAATATATATACCAGGTCATATCCTCTTCGTTGATATCTTCCTCCTTTGTTTCCTTCACAGTGGCGGCCGTCGACTGTTGGGCAATCTTGCAGACGTTCCCGTGAACTATTTCAGTAGTTCATTACTCATACCTAAGCCAACATGAAGTCCCAACTTCTCTCTAGTGCTGCTCTGCTCGCATCGGGCGTCTTTGGCGCTCGTGAATGGCTGAACGAGCCTGATACTGGTATCGAGCTCTCCCTTCCGGATCTTAAGCCTGGAGAGCTGGCCAGCATAGACTCTGTCGTTGGTCTGCCTGACTTTGAATATGTCGCTCGAAACTATCTTCCCATCAAGAACTACACATACTACCGGAATGGTGCCGGGGGTGAATGGGCCTACCGCCACAATGTCGAGGTCTTCCAGCAGTACGCTATCCGCTCGAGGACAATGATCGATATCACCAACATTGAAGCTTCTCTTCCGTGCGTATCCGCTGCATTTAAATTGTTTTTAGCATGTGCTGATTGATCACCAGGACCCAAATCCTCGGTCACAATTTTTCGGTCCCCTTTTACATTACTCCCTTCTCCCGAGCTGACTTGGCCCACGAGGGAGCGGAAACCAACCTGGTGAAGGCTGCCGCTGCCCAAAACATCCTCTACGTTGTAAGTATTGTAGCATCTCCTACCGATACTACTCGAAGCAATTATATACTGAGAGCTAACAAATGCCAGCCTTCCCATTATGCGTACCAAAGCATCGAGACGATTGGAGCTGCTAAGGCTGAGGGGCAGGTGCTGTTCCAGCAGGTTTGTGAATCTATGTTTATTTCTGCTGAACTTTTATTTACTAATCTTTATAGCTCTATCTCACTGCCAACGATACTCGAACTCAGATCGAGTTAGATCGTGCCAAGGCTGCAGGTCACAAGGCTATTGTCTTCACTGTCGATTGCCCTGCGCCTGCAAACAGACACCGGGCTGCCCGCTTTGATGTTCTTTCGCTGTATGCTCTTACCCATGGTTTCCTGGCTGATTACTGAAATTGACTAACATTTTCATAGAAACCAAGCCTATGTGCCTCTTACTGTGCGTGTCTTGCCTTTACTGACTACCTAGCTACGAAACGATGAACTAGACTAACATATCATGTGCAGTGGGAATTCTACAAGAAACTCACCACGATGACAGACCTCCCTATCATCCTGAAGGGCATCCAAACGGTTGAGGACGCCAAGCTGGCCCTTGAGAACGGCGTCCCCGGCATCATCCTCTCCAACCATGGTGGTCGTCAGCTCGACACCGCCCGCGGCCCCCTCCACATCGCCCTAGAAATTCACCGCAAGGCCCCCGAGCTGTTCCAGAAGCTCGAGATCTTGGCCGATGGAGGCGTCCGTTACGGGGCCGACGCTCTTAAGCTCCTCGCCCTTGGTGTCAAGGCTGTTGGCATCGGGCGTCCCTTTGCCTTTGCAAATATTTACGGCCAGGAGGGCGTTGAGAGAGCTATTAAGATTCTTCGACGTGAGATCGCTATTGACGCTGCTAATGCTGGTGTGGCTGATCTGAAGAAGATTAAGCCTGATGTGGTATGATGCCCTGGCTATCGCGGTGATTGTACGAGTTGATACTGACGTTGACTTTTAGATTGACTGGGACACGCCTTATGGATACAGCGGTTGATTTCTTAGGGTTTGTAGTCTTTCCAGCCTGTATCTTTATCTTGATATCAAGCCCATTTGAAAAGCTATGGAATTTATGGTCAACAAGAACAAAAAACGGTTGAAATGACGACTTACCATGCGACAATGCCAATTCCGGCAGAATAATGTTCCAAGGAATGATATAAAACCCTGCCGTAATTAGATATTACTAAACCTGTTAGGTACCTAAATAGGTTTTATCCGAAGGGTACTATAGGTAATTCTAGGTAATCTATTTAGTAA